GCGGTCGGTCCCGTCTTTGGCCATGCCATGACGCAGCGCCCACATCAGGTCTTCTTCGCCAACCCAATGTAGAGCTGCCCCCTGCACCATGTAGCCTCCTGAGTTAGGAGAGAATCCACCTCTTTCGATTTACCTCTTCATAGTCACCTTGATCTCATGTGTCTTGTCACACTGGCGGACCGTTCTGCCAATGTAAAAAGCTGCACCAGATATGTTTGGCCACTTGCCGAACTTCAACATCTTCTTGAACTCCTCCATGAGTCCTTCGCGCCGTTGATTACCTCCTGCGCGAAGTCGTCCACATCCAGCAGCACGAACCCTGCGAAGCTCAGTAGAGGCACGCGCCTTCTCTCACCACGTTGTCGGGGCATAGGCCATACACCGCGCCATGATCAACGCGGTTGGCGGCGTCGGCGTTCCGTGTCCGAGAAGGATTGGCCTTCCATGGTTATCTCACCTCCTGCTGCTTCCGGGTTAGTATGTACCTGCTTGGCATGATGCGGCGTGGTAGCTTTGCCTTGACGCAAGCAACTTCCTCTTCGTCTTCCACCACACACACCACGTTGGAGCTCACAAGCCCCGACTACTTGGTGAGGTTAAACGTGTTCTCACATGATGTCCTTGACAAGGAAAGCATCGCCCGCATTGATATTGGGCAATAGTCCCACATCCCGCAGTCCAGCAACCACCGGAAATAGTCTCCTGTCACCCCTCTGCACTGGCAAAGCGTCCTCCTGGATGATCACATCATCTTGTCCAGATTCTGGATTTGCAGGCGTTGGTCGGTAAGTAGTAGAGCTCGGTCATGATAGTGACCACATGTGGCGGTAGGTTGCGGTAGAGCTCATTCCTCTGACATCTTCATCTGCCACGATCTCACCACATCTAGATTCGATGTCCAGTACCTGCCGTAGATGGACTTGATCTTGCTGAATCTTCTGCTCGCGGCTTCGACTTCCGTGCTGCGTTCTTGGCGGCCAGTCCTTGGCGCCGGTGTCCTCGGAGCAACAGTTGCCGGTGTTGCTGGCGCTGGCAATTCCTCTTGAACTGGTAGCGCTGGTTGTGCATGAGGTTGATGTTCTTCTGGCGGTATTTCACCAGAAACGTCGTTGTAGCCGTAGACGTTGCTTTGCCTCCAGCAACTGTCTTGGGACTGCCTCCAGGCTCTGCTTCAAAGACTTGTGTCCCGTTGCACTTCCAAAGCTCTCTCTCTCTTGGGCTGTAGCCACTTCTGCTAGTCATCGTCTGAAGATCAATGGCTGGAACAGCTCGCAGCTTTTGTAGTAGACCTCCTAGAGCTCCTCTTCTCTCGGTCACCCCATTCCGACATGGACTGTCCCGGTCGAGAATGCCGCTCCATCTGCTCCTGCAAGTTCTTGCTAACTTGGCGCACCACGCACCCGAAGCCACAGCCTGTGAAGAACAGCGGCGACCTCTGATGGAACGCTGCAGCGGTGACCTGCGTAACCCTGTGCGACAGAAGCAGCTGCACCTGGCACGGCGCTTTGCAACGGTGTTTCGAATTGCAGGGCCCTGCCAGAGCAACTGCGGAGTTTTTGTTGCTGCGGGCTGCTGCAGCAGTGCTGTCGCAGGGCGCCAAGACACACCGCTCTGGTTGTAGATGGGGGCTTGCGCAGCGGCTCGCTTGTCCCTGCTTGTTCTGCGTAAACAATCGCGTTATGTTTTGCAGGGGCAGGTTTTTTGGCAAGCTGTGCAGCAGCTGCGTTGTTGCCAGAGAATTTGTCGCGTATTTTTGCGGCGCATTTGTCTTGTTCTGCGCAAAATGAAGCGTTCTGGTTTTTTAGCGGCTTTCCCGCAAGCCCCTGCTGCTGTGGAAGACGCTTCCCTCGCGAGCTCGACGCCAGCTCCCAGGCGCCGCTCTTTTCTCAGCAGAATGCCCTCTCGGCAACAGCATCGAGGTCAAACTTGGACTACTTGTGTGGGACCCGGCCCCGTTGAAGTTGTGGATGATTGAGGCGGAGCAGTCATCAAGCTGTCAGGCAGGGAAATCACCCAGCATCAGCGTCAACGTCAAGGTGCTCACCAACGGCCATCACGAAGGTCTTTGGTGACACCCTTCAAGGAGTACCAATCAATGAGTGGTTGACGGAGGTGATCAGGAATTTGATGGAGATGAGCAGCACTATGAGGAAGAGCGCTTTGTCGAGGAGGACTTGTGCTTTGCGAACGAGGCTATCCCGACGGTCATGGATGAGACCGAGGCCATGGTGTTCTTGAATGAGTGCATGTCGGAGAACTACTTCGGTGGCAAAGGCAGAAGAAAAGGCAAAGGCAAGGGCGGCAACGGCAAAAAGCAGCGTCGGAAAGCGACACTTGCAATGGGCGGGGGTTTGAACGACCAACAGCCTGGTGGAAAGCTGACCGACGACCTGGTGATTGCAAGGTGAACCTGCAAGCGCTGAAGGCCAGGGCGACATGCAACGACTGTCATCAGGGGGGTCATTGACCAAATGCCCGGCGAGGAACTGCGCAACCTCAT